ATCACTTCCACTTTGCCTTGATTCATGAACCCAACATTTCAGGTTCCTATACAATATTGCTCTTTACAGCATCAGTCCTTACTTCCATCATCAGTCACATCCACAACTGGGTGTTGTTTTTGTTTTGGCTCCATCTCTTCATTCTTTCTGGAGTTATTTCTCCACTGATCTCCAGTAGCATATTGGGCACCTATGGACCTAGGGAGTTCATCTTTCAGTGTTCTATCTTTTTGCCTTTTCATATGGTTCATGGAGTTCTCAAGATAGGAATACTGAAGTGGTTTGCCATCCCTTCTCCGGTGGACCACATTTTGTCAGAACTCTCCACAATGACATGTCCGCCTTGGGTGGCCCTACACAGCATGGCTCATAGTTTCATTGAGTTAGACAAGGCTGTGATCCATGTGATCAGATTGGTTAGTTTCCTGTGATGGTGGTTTTCAGTCTGTCTACCCTCTGATGGAGAAGGATAAGAGGCTTATGGAAGCTTCCTGATGGGATACACTGACTGAGGGGGAAACTGAGTCTTGTTCTGATGGGCAGGGCCATGCTCAGTAAATCTTTAATCCAATTTTCTTTTGATTGGTGGAGCTGTGTTCCCTCCCTGCTATTTACCTGGGGCCAAACTGTGGTGGAGGTAATGGAGATAATGGCGACCTCCCTCAAAAGATCCCAGGCATGTAGTGCTACAGTCCATGCCCCCAACCCTACAGCAGGCCACCACTGATCCACACATTTGCTGGACACCCACAGGCAAGCCTCCTGTGAGGTCACTGTTACTTTCTCCTGGGTTCTGGTGCACAAGGTTCTGTTGTGCCCTCCAAGAGTCTATTTCCCATTTTCTATTTCAAGCTGGTTTTTGAAAAGGCAGGGGAACTTGATATCAAATTGTCAACATCTGCTGGATCATTGAAAAAGCAAGAGAGTTCAAGAAAAAACATCTATTTCTACTTTATTGACTATGCCAAAGCCTTTGACTGTGTGGATCACAATAAACTGTGGAAAATTCTGAAAGAGGTGGGAATGCCAGACCACTTGACCTACCTCTTGAGAAATCTGTATGCAGGTCAGGAAGCAACAGTTAGAACTGGACATGGAACAACAGACTGGTTCCAAATAGGAAAAGGAGTATGTCAAGGCTGTATATTGTCACCCTGCTTATTAAACTTATATGCAGAGTACGTGAGAAATGCTGGGCTGGAGGAAGCACAAGCTGGAATAAAGATTGCTGGGAGAAATTTCAATCACCTCATATATGCATATGACACCACCCTTATGGCAGAAAGTCAAGAAGAACTAAAGAGCCTCTTGATGAAAGTGAAAGAGGAGAGTGAAAATGTTGGCTTAAAGCTCAACATTCAGAAAACTAAGGTCATGGCATCCGGTCCCATCACTTCATGGAAAATGGATGGAGAAATAGTGGAAACAGTGGGAGTCTATTTTGGGGGGCTCCAAAATAATTGCAGATGGTGACTGCAGCCATGAAATTAAAAGACGCTTACTCTTTGGAAAGAAAGTCATGACCAACCTAAACAGCACATTAACAAAGCAGAGACATTACTTTGCCAACAAAGTTTTTTCTAGTCAAGGCTATGCTTTGTCCAGTAGTCACATATGGATGTGAGATTTGGACTATAAAGAAAGCTGAGTGCCAAAGAATTGATGCTTTTGGTGTTGGAGAAGACTCTTGAGAGTCTCTTGGATTGCAAGGAGATCCAATCAGTCCATCCTAAAGGAAGTCAGTCCTGAATATTCATTGGAAGCACTGATGTTGAAGCTGAAACTCCAGTGCTTTGGCCACCTGATGCGAACAGCTGACTCATTTGAAAAGACCCTGATGCTGGGAAAGATTGAAGGACAGAGGAGAATGGGATGACAGAGGATGAGATGGTTGGATGGGATAACCAACTCAACGGACATGAGGTTGAGTAAACTCCAGGAGTTGGTGATGGACAGGGAGGCCTGGTGTGCTGCCATCCATGGGGCCGCAAAGAGTCGGACATGACTGAGTGACTGAACTGAACAAAACTGACCAATGCAGGAGGCATAAAAGACATAGGTTCCATCCCTGAATTGGGAATATCCTCTGGATGAGGGCATGGCAGCCCACTCCAATAATTCCTAAGGAATCCCATGGCAGAGGAGCTATGCTCCATAGGTTTACAAAGAATTGAACACAACTGAAATGATTTAGCAGACATGTATGCACAACAGCTTTATCCTTTCATTTGTCCATGGCCATATAATTTTCATCCATGTCCTGACTTTTATAAATAGTGTTGCAATGAACATTAGAGTTGTTGTTCAGTCGCTAAGTCATGTCCAAGTATTTGTGACTTATGAACTGTAGCCCACCAGGCTTCTTGGTCCATGGATTCTCCAGGCAAGAATACTAGAATGGGTTGAAATTTCCTTCTCCAGGGGATATTTATCAGTGAGCAATCAGGAAAGCCTGGACATTAGGGTACATGTGTCTTATTGAATTATTGTTTTCTCAGTGTATATGCCCAGAGGTGGGATTGCTGGGTAATATGGTAATCTTATTTTTAGTTTTCTAAAGCCTTCTATACTATTCTCTGTATCAATTTACAGAGTGGTTGGTACATAGTGGTTGTATCAATCAACAGGGTTCCCTTTTCCTCCACACCCTTTTCAGCATTTATTGTTCATAGATATTTTTGGTTATGGCCATTCTGATGGGTGTGAGGTAATACCTAACTGTAATTTTGATTCACTTTTTTCTAACAATGAGTGATGCTGAACATCTTTTCATTTGTTTATTGGCCACCTGTATGTCTTCTGTGGAGAAAGGTCTGTTTTGGTCTTCTGCCCATTTTTTAAATGGATTGTTTTTAGGATATTGAGCTGCATGAGCTGCTTTTATATTTGGGAAATTAATTCTTATTAGTTTACACATTTGCAATTAATTTATTGCATTCTAAAGGTTGTCTTTTTATCTTGTTTATAGTTTCCTTTGATGTGCAAAGGCTTTTAAGTTGAATTGCATGTCATTTTTTTTTTAACTTTTGTTTTTATTTCTATTACTCTAGCAGGTGGGTCAAAGTAGATCTTGATGTGATTTATGTCAGAGAGTGTTTGCCTCGGCTTCTGAACTTAGATGTAAGTATTTTATCCATTTTGAGTTTATTTTTGTGTAAGGTGTTAAGAAGTGTTTTATTTTTATTTATTTATTTATTTTTTAATTATATATATATATATATATATATATATATATATATATTCATTCATTTTTATTAGTTGGAGGCTAATTACTTTACAATATTGTAGTGGTTTTTGCCATACACTGATATGAATCAGCCATGGATTTACATGTGTTCCCCATCCTGAACCCCCCTCCCACTTCCCTTCCCATCCTATCCCTCTGGGTCTTCCTAGTGCACCAGCCCTGGGCACTTGTCTCATGCATCAAACCTGGACTAGCAGTCTGTTTCACAATTGATAATATACACATTTCAATGCTATTCTCTCAGATCAGCCCACCCTCAGCTTCTCCCACAGAGTCCAAAAGTCTGTTGTATATATCTGTGTCTCTTTTTCTGTCTTGCATATATTGTTATCATTACCATCTTTCTAAATTCAATATATATGTGTTAGTATACTGTATTGGTGTTTTTCTTTCTGGCTTACTTCACTCTGTATAATGGGCTCCAGTTTCATCCACCTCATTAGAACTGATTCAAATGTACTCTTTTTAATGGCTGAGTAACATTCCATTGTGTATATGTACCACAGCTTTTTTATCCATTCATCTGCTGATAGGCATCTAGGTTGCTTCCATGTCCTGACTATTATAAACGGTGCTGTGATGAACATTGGGGTCCACTGTCTTTCAATTCTGGTTTTCTCAGTGTGTATGCCCAATAGCGGGATTGCTGGGTTGTATCACAGTTCTATTTCCAGTTTTTTAAGGAATCTCCACACTGTTCTCCATAGTGGCTGTACTCATTTGCATTCCCTTGTGTTTCCTTATTGATTTTCTGTCTGGATGATTTGTCCATTGGTGTGAGTGCAGTGTTAAAGTCTCCCACTATTTTTGTGTTACTGTAAATTTCCCCTTTTGTTGTTGTTAATGTTTGCCTTCTGTATTCAGGTGCTCCTGTGTTGGGTGCATATATATTTACAATTGTTATATCCTCTTCTTTGATTGTTTTCTTGGTCATTATGTAGTGTCCCTCCTCATCTCTTGTAACAGTTTTATTCTTAAATCTATTATATCAAATATGGATATCGCTACTCCAGCTTTCTTTTGATTTCCATTTGCATGGAATATCTTTTTCATCCTCGAAACTTCAGTCGCTACATGTCCCTAGGTCTGAAGTGGGTCTCTTATTGATAGCATATTTATGAGTGTTGTTTTTGTATCCATTCAGCCAATCTGTGTTTTGGTTGGAACATTTAATACATTTACATATAAGGCAAGTATTGATAACTGTGATCCCATTACCATTAAATTTATTGATTAGGGTTTGTTATTGTAGGTCTTTTATTCTCTTATTTTCCTGTCTAGAGAACTTCCTTTAGCATTTGTTATAAATCTGATTTGTTATTAATGAATTCTCTTTATTTTTGCTTATCTGTAGAACTTTGGATTTCTCCATTGAATCTGAATGAAATCCTTGCTGGATACAGGAATCTTGACTGTAGTTCTTGGTTTTGTTTTTTTGCTTTCATCACTTTGTTATATCCTGCTACTCTCTTCTGGCTTTCAGATTTTCTGCTGACAGATCACCTGTTAACCTTATGGGGATTCACTGTATGTTATTTGTTGATTTTTCTTTGTATTTTAATTCTTTTCTTTCTAATTCTCATTAGTTTTACTAATATGTGTCTTGTTGTGTTTGTCTTTGAGATTATCTTGTATGGGACTCTCTAGGCTTCTTGGATACAGTGGCAATTTCTTTTCCCTTGTTAAGGAAGTTTTCACCTAAAACCTCCTCAAATGTTTTCTCATATCATTTCTTTTTCTTTTCTTCTTTCAGGACCCCTATAATTCAGATGTTGGTGAACTTAATGCTGTCCCAGCGGTCTTGAGATGATCCTCATTTCTTTTCATTCTCGTTTTCTTTATTCTGCTCTGCTCCACTTCTTTCCGCCATTCTATCTTTCCAGCTCACTTATTCATTCTTTTGCCCAAGTTATTCTGCTATTGTTTTCCCCAGAGTATACTTTGTTTTCAGTTATTGTGTTATTCATTGCTAATTGGCAGTTCTTTATTTCTTCTAGTTCCTTGTTAAACATTTCTTCTATCTTCTAAATCTGTGCCTCAATTTTATTCATCTGTGCCTCCATTTTATTTCTAGTATTTTGTATCATCTTCAGTAACATTACTCTGAATTCTTTTTCAAGTAGATTGCCTATGACTTCTTCTTCAGTTTCTTGGTCTTATGCGTTTTTACCATGCTCCTCACCTGCTGCTTTTTTCCCTGACTTTTCATTTTGTTTAACTTACTGTGTTTGGGGTCTACTTTTCACAGGCTACAAGATCGTATTTCCTCTTCCTTGTGGAGTCTATCCTCATTGATTATGGTTGGACCAGTGTCTTGTGAAGGCTTCCTTGTGTGGGGGATTAGTGCCTGTGCTCTGGTGGGTAGAACTAGATCTCATAACTTTTAAAGGAAGTGCCACATCCAGTAGTGTATTTTGAGGTGTCTGTGAGTTTGATATGGCTTTGGGCAGCCTGTTTGCTAATGGACAGAGGTGTGTTCCTCTTTTCCTAGCTATTTGACATGAGGTGTCTGGCACCGGAGCTTGCTGTGCTTGGGTGGGACCAGATCTTACTGTTGTGATGGATGCCTTTGGGAGGGCACTCACTGATTAATTTTCCATTGTTTCAAGATATATCTTGTGGTCAACCCTCCTGAACTCAGGCCTCCCACTTCAGATCCCCTGCATAGAATCTCAAGACTCCACAAGCCACACATCACAGAAGAGAAAGAAAACTAGAAAATGAAAGTAAAACCAATATACAAACAGAAAAGAACAAATAGACAAAACCCAAATACACATGGTAGAAGTAAATCTAAACAGATTAAAATACACAAGGAACTAGCATGGTCATACTCACAAAAGAAAAAGAGAAAAAAAGTAAAGGGAAAAAAAGAAATAATATAATGAGGAAACAAAAAAGAAGAGAAGAATCAAACCAATAAACAAATCCATAATTGAAAATAAACACAACAACTAGGCCAGCAAAAATACAAAGCCAAAAACATGGGGGAAAAGGAATATAATGAAAAAGTACTGTGGAAATAGGAAAAAAGGGAAAGTAAAACAAATGTATCTTAAAAGCATAAAAATGAAAAAGCAAAAAAGAAATAATTAAAAAGAACAATAATAGAACAAATTGATAAAGAAAAAAAGAAAAAAATATGTACATATAGTGGTGGTAAGAATATTTTCCTATGTCTTACAGTAGTGTTCTCTCTCATGCACTGAGCTCCAGCCAATATGCATAGTCAGAAAGACCTTCAATATCTTGGAGGTTCTATGAACCTGCTGTGGGCAGTGTGGCATCAGCTCAAACTCAGATCTGGCCTTTCCCCTGTTTGAACTTGTTTCCAAAGTCCACAATTGCCCCCAAAGTCCATATTCTCAAGGCAACTGTACATGTTCAGTTAATCACAAGGATTAATTCACTGCTTCTGTGGCTGCAGAAGCGAATTCTCTTCCTCTTCTTTGGGCACACAAGCCTTGGTTCTCCCCTTTAGTTTTGGCCCTGCCTCTGTTTGTAGGCCACCCACTGGCATCTGTTCCCCATCCAGACAAGAGGTGGTGAAATCTGCTTAAGGCTCACTTGCTCAGGTGAGCAGGAGAGAGAAGGATGAGGCAGACACAGCTGTGATGCACAGGGAGCATGTAAGGCAGCAGAGGCCTGTGGAAATTTTCTGTAGCCTGAGACAGATCTTACACTCTATCAAGGGGATTGGCCTGGGGTTGTAGGCTTCGCTGGTGGCTCAACTGGTAATCTGCCTGCAATGAGGAAGACCTGGATTTGATCTCTGGGTTGGGACGATCCCCTGGAGAAGGGAAAGGCTACACACTCCAGTATTCTGGCCTGGAGAATTTCATGGACTGTACAGTTCATGAGGTCACAAAGAGTCGGACACAACTCAGTGACTTTAACTTCATTTGTGGTTCTCTTGGAAATGCCAGGCTGCACGGGCTCCCAGGAAGGTATGAAAAGTGATCTGTGCCTGCTCAGAGCTTGGTGGCAGCTACAGCAGCCATCACAACAGTAGCATGCCCACCTCTGGGTTCGGAGACTGACCACAGTCATGTTCTAACCCAACCCTGGCACTCATATGTGTGACTGGTGCTCCCACTTTGGAATCAAAGACCAACTGCATCCAAGTCCCATCCTGCCTCTGCCACTTGCATGGACAACTAGCACAGCAACCTCTGGGGTTGGAGACCAAACTGCAGCCACCTTTTGTCCCACCTATGGCACTCAAAAAGGTGTTCTGCCATCTGAGCATGTGGAATTAGAGGGTCCCTGTAGCAATGATCTCTTGCCTCTCTGGCAGACACAGGCTTTTCCCTGGACTCCCTCAGCTGTGTTGTACTAGCATCCTCAGTCTGTCTTCACAGCATTCAACCACAGTCATCTCCGAGTTCTGACTTCTGAAGCCTAGGCCTTAGCAAATAATCCCTACCTGCAGGTATAAAGATTAGTGTCTTGGGCTGAGGAGTTGTGGTCAGTTCCAATCCCTGTGCAGAATTCTCTTTGTTTTGTTTTCCACACACCTGTTTCTGTGCTCTCCTCTGAAGTCCCAAAGTGCTTCCCTGTCTCCACCCAGGAGAGGTGTTGTGAGTATGTGAAAACTTCCTCCTTCACAGTTCCCTCCCAGAGATGCAACTCTCATCCAATTTATAATTTTTTCTTATTTATTTTGACCTATTCATTTGCATAGAGATTAGCTTGCCTTTTTGGAAGTCTGCAGTCTTCTTCCAGTGTTCAATAGGTGTTCTGTAGGAGTTGTTGTATATGCAGATGTATTTTTTGATGTATTTGTGGGGAGGAAGGTGATATCTGAATCTTATTCTCCACCATCTTGCCTGAATCTCATTTGCCTGATTTTTTAAAATTTCCTTTTGACTTCTTCTTTGACCAGATTGCTCAGTAGCATGTTATTTAATCTTAACATATTTGCAAATTTTCCAGTTTTCTTCTTGTAATTGATTTCTAGTTTCATAATATTGTGGTTGGGATAGATGCTTGATAGAATTTCAATTTTAAATTTATGACACTTTTTGTGACCTAATATATTATCTGTCTTGAACCATGTATGCTTCAGAGAAATGTATATTTCATGGCTTTTGAATACAATGTTCTGTATAACTCTGTTAAGTTCATTTGGTCTAACATGTTGTTTAAAGAGACTGTTTCTTTATAGGTTTTCTCTCTGGATAATCTTTGAAATTGATTAAAATAGATATTAAATCTACTTGTTATTCTTGTATAGTTATCTATTTCACCCATTAAATGTTAATATCTGCTTTACGTATGTAGATGTTCCTATGTTGGGAGTGTTGGGGTCAGTGTGAGGAAAGCAGGAGCGACTCCATCTTGAAGCCTGTCATCCATCTTAAAGACAGGATGTGAACTTGACCTGAACCCTGCCAAGAGTGAGGAAACCATTGCTAGTGAAAACCAGGTCTCCTGGAGACTTCCCTCCCTACAGATGACAAACGGAGATTGTAGCTGAGGTCAGGCTGCCCCTGTTAGAATAACCATGGAGACATCCTTCCTTGATGTGTAATCATTGTTCCCCCACTTTAACCTTATTTGCTTGTTCTCCTAGCACCTACTTGTTGTAAAACTCAATCATATACAACAAAGAGGTTGCTAACATGAGACTATTCACATAGTCAGGAGTATAAAACTGGACCTCTCAAAAACATCAGAGTCCTTGTTGGGAACTGATTCCCCTTGGACCCCCTGGTGTAATAAACTATACACTCCACTGTCTTGAGTATCCTTTGAGGTGTGTTTTGTGACTCTGCATGCCAAAACAGGAGCACAATTATTTTAAAATGATATGTCTTTATCTTGGATTGATGCATTCATCATTATATAATAACCTTCTTTTAGACTTCTCAGTCTTTGTCTTATAAAGTCTATTTTGTCTGATATAAGTATACATATGTTAGCTTTCTTTTCACTTCCATTTGCATGGAACAACTTTTCCCATCATTTTAATTTCAGTCTGTGTACACCTTTATATCTGAACTGAGTCTTTTGTGGACAGCATATAGACTATTTTTTTTTAAATCCATCATCTAATCTAGGTCTTTTGATTGGAGAATTTAGTCTATTTACATTAAAAGTAATTATTGACAGATATGTACTCAATGTCATTTTGTTAATTGTTTTCTGGCTACTTTGCTAATTATTTTTTAGCTGTATGCAATTCCACTCTTCCTTTCTTCTCTTTTTCTATTCCTTCATGATTTTATGACATTATGTAGTAGGATGCTTGTATTCATTCCTGTTTGTCTTAACTGTGTTTGCAATAGCATTTTGCTTTGTGGTTTCCATGAGGCTTACATAAAACAATTGCATTTTAAGTTAATAGCAATTTATTTTTTAAATCTATTTTTACTTTTATTAGTTGTAGGCTAATTACTTTACAATATTGCAGTGGTTTTTGTCATACTTTGACATGAATTAGCCATGGATTTACATGTATTCCCCATCCCGATCCCCCCTCCCACCTCCCTCTCGACCCGATCACTTTGGCTCTTCCCAGTGCACCAGGTCCGAGCACTTGTCTCATGCATCCAACCTGGGCTGGTAATCTGTTTCACCCTAGATAATATACATGTTTCGATGCTGTTCTCTTGAAACATCCCACCCTCACCTTCTCCCACAGAGTCCAAAAGTCTGTTCTATATATCTGTGTCTCTTTTTCTGTTTTGCATATAGGGTTATCGTTACCATCTTTCTAAATTCCATATATATGTGTTAGTATACTGTAATGGTCTTTATCTTTCTGGCTTACTTCACTCTGTATAATGGGCTCCAGTTTCATCCATC